TTAAGTGTGGGGTGTACAATCCTAGGAACCACATGACTAGCCTGAGCTTTACGGAGTTGAAAAGCTAACAAGCGACTAGCTCTGTTCCCAATCTCATAATATCTCTGTTTAGAGAATCTCAAGGCTCCTTCCGCTTTATATGTGAGAAGTTTATCTAGGGCCTACATGTAGTGCTGTTGCAACTATCAAACAGCAAAGTTGCTGTAAGTGATGTTGCTTATAGGCTATAGCAAAACAAAACAGATAAGAAAACCAGAATAAACTAAAATAAAACACAGTATGGATGAAACAAGATTAAATGATCTCAGCTACGTCCTCAGAGGGGGAAACCCCTAAGATTTCTTTTTTTCTCTCTTTTTAGATTTTTAGCCAAATCTAACTCTTGGCATGAGAAAAAAAGTGAATAGCATAAGCCTGGTTCCAACCAGTGCTTTTCAACAGTTCAACAACCTTCTTACATCTCACTCAGTTTGTATCTTATTTTTTACCTTGAAAAAAAGCCCGCAAGTCTGCGTTTGTTAAGCCCGTTCTGTTGGAGGCTCTCCCGTGGCAGGTGAATTACGCAGCAGCTCCGTCTGGAGGTTTTCCCATTCATCTATCGTGACATGAATTCCCATCTCCTTCAGTGTAGGAACCGCCGCATCCGCAAGCGTCAAGAAGATCTTCACACCAGTTTCCAGGTGAATTTTCAGTTGGGCAGTGAACAGCAATTGTGCTTTCAACTTTTTTTCATTGAGTTGTTTAATCACCTCCCGGACTTGCTTTCGTTTCTTCTGTATATCCGATGTGTAGTCTTGGTCGAAAAAGATCCTCTGTCCTTGGAAAATCACCTCTCATTTTTTCCAGGCTTGCTGAAGTATTGTTTCCTTTACTCTGTAGTTGGAAAATCTTATGATAATCGATCTCGGAGGCGCGTGGTCTTTTGCCTTCATGGTCAGTGAGCGATGTACTCTCTCTGTGCGCAAATCCTTGTCTTGAGGTAACGTTAGATCAAGTGCGGTATGCAACAGGTTTGTTATGAATGTAACCATATCACCCCTTTCCTCTCCACTCCATATATACGTAGATTATTCCGTCTTGCTCTGGACTGGAGGTCTTCACATTTGACAGAGACTTTTGCGTCTCTGTGGAGCAGATAGGGAATGGCTCGCTCGTGTCGGAGTGCTTTGTCCTCCATATCACTCGTTCTCTGTTCAACCTCCGCCATTTGTTGTTCCAGTTTAGTCGTATGTGCCCGCACATCTTCAAGGGCCCATTCAACCCTGGTTAAGGTAGCCTTCGTGTCTTGAGAGGCTTCTGTATGTTCCTGTCGCAAGTTACGCAGTTCTGTTAGCACAGCCGCCATGCTTATTTCAGTGTGCACTTCACCTGTGGGTGACGGTGTTTGGTCTCTTTTGTCATCTCTTTTGGTTGCTTTGCCTTTCTTTTCGGCTTCCTTTTTTTGGTTGGACATTGCAGTACTTGTTCAAAAGAACTGGCATTGAATATTTGTAATTCAGTCGTGATTTAGCTGGTTTTTCAAGGGTTTCTTCCCGCTGCAGGAGAATCAAGCTGCTGCTCGGCTTATGACGTCACCGGAAGTCGATTTGGATGAATTTCTAGCAGATTATTTTTACAAATTGCGTTAGAAATTGCTTTTATGTTCTACATATAGGCCCAGGTCACTAGGACCTCGCAGCAGTTACGGTATTTTCAGTTCGGTCATCAGACCCTTTATTTCTGTTGCTGTCATGCTGAAAATTTCTGACTTTAATTTGCGTTTGGTCGCCAAACCTTAATGTTTTTTTTTTGTTTGTTTGTTTTTTTCAACATTTTATTTAAGTGTGGTCTTTCATTATGTTCAACATACAGTATAGACACGCATGGTCTGCAGAACCATACACTTTTCAAACTTCCTTTCTGGCTTTTATATTATTTGGTGGTTAGACCTCAACATGTTTCCTTACTGCTTTCCTTTTCAACACTTATTTCGCATCTATCATCTTCTGCTAGTTTGTGGCTCCTTAGCTGTCTTTCCAGACATATTCCTACCACACATTTCTCATCAGAGTTGTACTATCTCATTCACGACTTATTTCTGTCATATACTTAACTATGCACATATCCATAGTCTTTCACATTTTGCTTTATGCGTGTTTCTCTAGCTACACACTAATCGCCAAAGACTTTCCACATTTTTATTCATATGTTCACATAAATAATAAATAAATAATAATAAATATTCTTTTACTATAAAAACTCGTCTCTCCTGATTGAAATTAAGCTCAGTGTAAGTTCAGGAAGACATTCTCTGTGCTCATCCTTTACATTTCTCTCCATCCCACTCTCACTACTCCCTCTAATCAGCTGAGTATGGGTGTTCATTCTTCTAGTTATCCAATCAAACTTTGCCACAATTTCTCTCAGCCAATCAAGATGCCACTGCAATATTTCAAATCTGCTCTCTTTTCTGCTGCTGTCAGTCGTCATTTTAGGCAGAATCTTCATGCCCTCCTCCACCTCATACACCTCCAGCCATCATATCCAGTGTCCAGGACAAATTCAACAAAGGCTCATTCCTCTACAAACCCAGATCATCAGCACTTCTCCATCTTCCTCTCATCTCATCTTCACCACCTTTACCACCACCAGCGTCTAGAGACTCACTACTTAAGCATTGCCTGAAATCTGGCCTGCCTACTGATAGGCTAAAATTTACTCACATGCGTAACAAAGTAGTACAGTCCTTGAGAAAGGCCAAAGCAATTTTTTTTATTTCCATAATCAAGGGTGCAAAGGGCAACGGGAAGAAGGTGTGGCAAACTTTGAATAAACTATTAGGTAAGGATATCAAACACGAAACAAACACTCTTGAACTAAAAATTGATAATGTTATGGTGAAGGATCATGCAAGAATTGCAACCACTTTTAACAATTATTTTTTATACAGTGTGACTGAAATAACAAGACTTTTTACTCCTTCAATTATTGTACCCCGCTTGATCAGTGATGAGCAGCCCATTTTTCAGCTGGCAAATATAACAGAAGTCACAAAGATCATTGGAGCACTCAAATGTTCCAAAACAAAAGATGTACACGGTATCAAACACAAACTTCATAAAGACACATTCTCATGCATTACTCAAACCCATTACCCACGTGGTTAACTTATCAATTAACCAAAACAAAGTCCCGCCAGCCTGGAAGGTGGCCACGGTGACTCCCATTTCTAAATCTGGCTTCAAAACACAGGAGGCCAACTACAGACCAATCAGTATATTGCCAATTATTTCCAAGGTAGCTGAGAAATAGGTAGCGAATCAACTGATCAAACATCTGGATGAAGGTCTCACTCCATTACATCCCATGCAGTTTGGCTTCAGGGCACACCATTCCACTGAGTCAGCCAATTGTATGTTCACTGAAAAAATTAAGTGTCTGTTGGATAAATTTCCGTGTGTTGGTGCTGTATTTCTTGACCTTAAGAAGGCATTTGACACCGTCGACCACCAGGTACTCACATTTTTTAACTTCTCTAACACCATGCAGTGGTTCATATCTGTCAAGCAGAGCTCAATGTGTAACTGTCGACGGGGTCAAATCGCCTTTTCGCACTACAACAGTTGGTGTCCGTCATGGTTCGATCCTTGCGCCTTTGTTATTTTCACTGTACATAAACGACCTCCCAGATGTGTGCCCAGACCTTAAAGTCCAGATGTATGTGGACGACGCAGTCATTTTCACACACGGTTCAAACTCTGTCATTACCTCCAACAAATTCACAAATGCTTTAACTAAGGTACAAGACTGGCTTAATAACAACTGCCTTATGCTCAACACAAAGAAAACGGTGTGTATGACACTCAAAGCAACCAGTAGAGCAGAACAGATCAACATATTCATCGGAGAAGAGGAACTTGAATTGGTAACCCAGTTCAAGTACCTTGGTATCACATTAGCCACGAATAACACATTTAAGAAACACATCAAAAAAGTGGCCAACACGAAAAGATTCAGCCTGCAAAATTTTAAACAAATCAGGCCCCTCATCTCGTCTGATGCTGCTAAATCTTATCTCCACTGCATGATTCTGTCTCATATTGAGTACTGTTTTGTGATATGGTTGTTTTCTGGAGTCACCACACTGAAACCTGTTGAAGAACTCTACAAAAAAGCCATCAAGGTATTCGCCAAAAAACCATATTCCTCACATCACTGTCCAATTCTTAGGAGATACAATTTCTTGAGTTTTGAACATTTTAAAACTTTTAAATACAGCTGTCTCATCTATAAAACCCTCAACGGGCTGGCTCCTCCTCCGCTGGAGGATTTTTTTAAATGGAGAGACAACACACTCAGTACCAGATCTGCCTCCAGAGGGGACTGTGAGGTGCAGTTCAGACGAACCTTGATAGGCCAAAATTCCCTTACCGTAAAGGGCAGTGCAGATTCGAAAGGTCTCCCAACCTCAATCAGAGACAGTCCCACTCTCACTACTTTCAAAAAACAGCTTAAAGGATGACTATTGACTCATCAAATCTGCACCCATGAATGAAACATTGATCAGCCCTCTCATACAGTTCTCTACTGTAGCCCCTTGTTGAATCTATTTTATAACTGCTGCTAATACTGTTGTGAACTTTATATGTTGTTGAATTAACTGTTATTTATTGTATGTCTGTCTGTCTTTTAATGTGAGGACTACAGATGGAAATTAGCTTCTAACTAAATCCGGCATATTTACATGACGTCATGTATTTGTACCGATTGTTCATTAATATGCACTGTCCTCTTCAAATAAACAAAAACTGAAACTGAAACCCCCTGTGAAGCTTGGGCTGCCCAGGTTGGAAACCACTGATCTACGCCACTAAAACCATTTTTCATCTATTAATTTGTTGTTTGATCAACCATTTATAATCACCCCCCCCCCCCCCCCCCCCCCCCCCCCCCCCCCCCCCCACCCCCTGTCTGTCTGTCCCTCTGTCTTTTCCCCAACTCCTTTTCCTCTCTGTCTTCAGGACATCTCGTGGTCCTGCCATGGATATCTGGACACCAACGCAACCAAATCTGTTGAAACAATCAAAGCAATCAACACATACTCATCCTGTCAGAATCCATCATCCTAACCAAGATAATTATTCCTTGTGAACTGAACCCAAAAAACGTGACTGACCAACCATCGTACATTAAAGGGACCCTCCCAAGCCTTCCATTGTACGTCTGCTGATGAGACTGCTTACCCCCCCCAATATTGACTTACCTTTCCCTCATGAGCCATTCCCCCCCCCCCCCCCCCCCCCCCCCCCCCCCCCCCCCCCCCCCCCCCCCCCCTCCCATGCCCCTCCTTCCCTCCCCTCTCCAGGCTAAAAGAGTCCCTTAAAGGGCTTCATCAGCCTCAACTCCCCCTCCAAGTCAAGCGGCCAGTTGCCTCCCTGACATGCTCAGGTCAGTGCAGGCCTCCAGCAGCTAGCCCTCCATCTTGTATCTGGATCCAGGCCTGTCAGTCATTAGGTCCAGCCCTTCCATGGCCTTAACTGGGGAGAGGAGAGGAAGCAGAGCAGGGAGGGGGCAGGAGGGAAGAAGAAAGAAGGAAACCACACAGTCGGGAGGGAAGATGACGGGTATGAGAAGGAGGAGGAAACCAACAAAAGGAGGATTGTTAAACTGCAGAAGCTTGCTTTGGGATCAGACATTTACATTATTCGGTGGGCCTCTCATCTCTCACAAAAGGACTCCAACTTGGTGATGTCCTCTCATAACAGACTGGGTCCCAGTGTGCTTCTTTCTCATAGTTCTGTGCCCTTCCTTGCCAATTTGACTCATAGTAATCAAATCAAAAGTCCCCAGAATGCTTCTTAGATTTGGTTTGTGCACACCTGAGCAGGCAAGAACAAACTGGGATGTCAGCTTCTTTTGTATGTACATGATGGGGAGGGGTGTCTAAAGATGGACTTGTGGTGGAGAGGAGCGGTCTGAGCATGCTCCCTTCTGACTGGGAGGGAAGGGGGGGCAGCAGTGTAGTTTATGCTCCTACTGTGTAATATGTGTGTGTGGGATGATCCAGTGTCAGGCTTCACCTGGTATGTGTATGTACACTTTGTGTGCGTGTGTGTGTGTGTGTGTGTGAGTGTGAGCCTGGAACTGTGTCAACATAGCTTTTGCTGAAGCCTAATGTGTGTGTGTGTGTGTGTGTGTGTGTGTGTGAGATAGAGACAGACAGACAGCGTGGAAGGTCAGTGTAGAGGGCTGACTGGGACAGTGCTGTGTGCGTGCGTGTGTGTGTGTGTGAATGTCTGTGTGTCTGTGTATTGAAATGTTTACAGTCTAGATGTCCATGTTCCCTGTGTGTGACTGGCAGTGCTCCCTTTACTTTGCTGATGTTTACAGCTACAGAGAAGCGACATGACATATTGTAAATGCCACACCTACCGTCTCTTGGTTCTTTCTTTTTAGATCTGCCAGAGTTTTCATGTGACCACGATAAAGCATTTTCCCGTGAGAGTCTCGAGTGCGAGAGCGTGTGTGTCTCCATGCATCTGACTGTTTGTGCATGTGTTTTTGAGTGTGTGATTCAAAAGGCGCCTGTTGGTCTATGTTACTGTCGGTTCCCCACGTTGTGTTTCTGCTAGAGTAGGTCTGGCTGACTGCTACTGGAGATACAAGCCACTCAGACCTGAAAAGGAGTAGTCCCACTGTGGATCCATTGGACGGGGCTTATTTATTCATTTCTTCATATTTAACAATATTTGTTTAATATTCCTATCATGTGAGGTGTTACCCACTCTTCAGAATGCCAAGAGCCGATGTATGAAGACTTCTATAAACCAACATACAAACAAACTGCATTTACAAAGCTACTGTAAACAAATGGTGGAATAAATTGTGCTAGATGACAGATTTGCATTAACTTTCCTTCTGTGAGCCACATACAAATGATACAAACTGAGCAGCACTGTGTTTCCCATCAAACATCTTCATACTGAGATTTTAGTCTGCTTATAGATAAGACAGTATGTATAGTAGCTGTGTATTAATGGGACATACTGTTATATTTGACAGATTTATACTTGTGTGTCAGCTCTATGCAGAGCCTACAGCATTGTGAGCATTTATACTTGTGTGGTGGTGTGGTCTATTTATTTTATTTATTGGTTTATTTGAAGCAGACCCAATGCACATCAAAGAACCGTATATAAACACATTAGTTTATTACTGATTTTATTTTTATGGAGGCATCTCCATGATAAAAGCTCTCATGAGACTGGTTTCTATGAGTGAATACTTATGTATATATATATATATATATACATATATATATATGCAAAATATAAAATTGAAATAACAAAACCATTCATCATCTCTTAACATGCAGAACACCCAGGACATCCTACAATGACAGTATTTTAAAACATGCAACATGCAAGCTCATAATACAAGACATAAACAAATACAATGAGCACAGACATAAAAAGCATGCACAGTATATAAAATAAAGCTGTCTGACCTGGCAAACACACAATAAAAGACATGCATGCAGGTACATGAAGGCAGACTGACAATAGCAAGATAGCGACAGGTGACAGCAAGGGAAGTTCAATACAGACAAACTGAGAACAAAAAGGTGTAACTGAGTTTTAGTGCTGAAAGATCTGAGTGCTAACTAACCATTTCTTTAAATGAACTTTAAATGAACTGTATGTGTCCAGTTCCCTTGTAGTTGCTGGGACTGAGTTTCATTCTGCTGCAGCTTTAACAGAGAATGCATACTGACTGAAAGCACTTTTCCTGAGTGGGATAATGCAGTCCCCTTTTGCTGCACCTCTTGTGAGTCGGTGTGCAGTTGTTCTTATATTGACAAACTCCCTGAGCGGAGGAGAAGTCAAGCCATATATAATCTTATACAAAAGACAAACATCTACATATTTAACCATGTTGTCCCAACTCAACAAGTTCTATTTATTCAATATTGGGCAATGATGAAAATGTACTGATTTCTTGTCAAGGATTTTAAGTGTTTGTTTATACAGAGACTGTAATGGTTTCAGAGTAGTGGTGCTAGCCTGCGACCAGGGGCCTGTATCACGAAGCAGGATTAATGTCTTAGAGAGGTAACTTCTGGGTTAACCCTGGGTTTTCGGTCTCACGAAGCCGGTTCAGTTCTTATCGGGGTAGATCACCATGGTAACTTACTCTGAACGGCTATCCTGCTCTGGAGCAGGGTAAGTTCAGGGTTGAATCTAATCCTATAAAAAGCACCACCCACTGGCCTATCAGCTGTTTGGAAAAAAATGACTCCGCTGACAGAAATGCAGCCCAGTCATGATGGGAAGTTTAATTAATTTGATTGATTTTGATTTGAAAGTTTATTTTGAACATTAAAAAAGAAAAGAAAGAACAACAACAGACAATGAAAAGATTGTTCAAAAAGGAGTGGAAAGAAGTCGAAATTTCATCCCACCCCTTCATAAGAAAGAAGCTGATAATTTGCGGACACTTAATAGCACCATTAATTAGTGCCAACATTTTGTTTTGTTGGAGGAAATGCTCCCTGTTAAAGATAATGGGCCTAATTGACAGCTTTGCTGCTGGAAATGTGGAAAGTAGCCTATCATGTCTACACTTCATGGTGTCTGAGGGATTTTCCTTTTTGTTTTTTAAAGAGGGAGACTAGGTATATTTCTGCGCAGCTGTTAATTTCTAACACAGCTCAATATCAGGATGAGTTTATTCAGACTATCAATTTGGCGTTGATATGATTTAATTGTGACGTCAGTTTTAAGCTTTATTGTAGCATATATAACGTTATGACAAAGAAGACCAATTTATCAGACGCAATGATGTTAGACGATAATTGTAATACACGCAATTCATCTGCGCAGCATTGATTTCATGGGATTCAAGGGTGTGATCAGTGTCAGATGTACAGGTACAGGTACTGTAGCTACTTGAACCAGTGATGAGTAATTTAACCTACACATCATTTTATTTGCTACCTTGTTTTGTTTTGATTTTTCCCTCTTTCCTCCTCTATTTCTTCTTTCCTTACCCGTTTTTTTTTCTTGTCTATTATGTGATTTCATTGATGTTTTGACAGGGGAATTTCTTTGATAAGCTTTTAGTGGCTTCTAACCTCTCCGGCACTTTTCTTTTTTTAATCTTGTAAATTTTATACTGTCTGTTTTTAACATTATGTGCAAATAAACTAATCTAAACTAAAGCTAAATATTATTCATCCCGTTATGCGTTGCCACGCATGTTTCCTCCTCCTGCAGCTGCCACGGTGTTGGCCTTTTCTGTAATGCTGCTTTTCTCCTCCTCATATTTTATTAGAATTAATGTCTTATCCTCACGAGAAATACTTTTTTCCCCTCACATACGGCGCTCTGTGAGGACGCTCAGTGACGCTCAGTGATGCTGCGCTTCTCTCATGATTGTGATTGGTCCGCTGCGTGCGCGTTCACGGCTCTTGATAAAGCAATCCTGGGTTGAGTTACCGAGTTGATATCCAGCGTCGTGATACCGATTATCCTGATTGCCATTGTTAGGGTTAGTCAACACAGGATAGGTCTGGGTCACCCAGGAAAGGTTGATTGTGCTTCGTGATACAGGCCCCAGGTTGTTAAACATCTTAAACATCTTAGCTGCATCTGTTGACATAAATTGTGAGTAAACCTGAAGTTTGAAATATTGAATCTGACCCACTTACAGACTTTCACCTTTTGTCAGCCTTGAAAGAGAGATTAGAGTCAATCAGAACTCCGAGGTACTTGTATCTGGATACAACCTGTAGCCTTTCTCCTGCTACAAAGACATCTGGCTTTACACTAGAACTGTTTGTCTTGGTGAAAAACATGCATACCGTTTTCAACACATTTAGTTGTAAACAGCATTGCTTTAACCACGCTGTTACATGAACCATAGAGTTAGTGAGTTCATTAGCAACTTGTGTCATACTGCTACCATGTAAATAAATTACAGTGTCATGTGCATACATTTGGATGTTGGTGTCAGAACATACAGATCTAAGATCACTGATATATAATGTAAATAACAATGGGCCCTTGTGGGACACCCATGGACAAACGGAGGGCAGCTGATTGATGATTCTATACTCTGACACACTGTTTTTTGACTCCATTTGACTCCAAACATTCCCAGAGATATAGAGAGGTTAATTAGTTTGATAATAGGATTGGCTAGTGTTGTACTAAGCTCTTTAAGCATAACTGCATCCCTACCAA